ATTAGTTAGGCATCGCATACCCCTAGCCGCATGTTAGTGGTGTGCGTCAGTTAAGATCGTTCAGCTGCCTGGTATTATCGACGTAGGCTCCATGTGGCTAGCTAGTTAGGCATCGCGTACCCCTAGCCGCATGTAAGTGGTGTGCGTTGGTTAAGATCGATGAACCTCGAGGTCTTTCTAGCATAATTCGGAACCTATAATGAAAAACCCTGTAATTTGCCAGTCATCTTGTACGATGTTTAGTAAATAATTAGCGTGTGAACCAGAAAATTTTTACTGGCAACAAAGAATCATCGACCAAATTTTGTCTGCACGAATGCGCCTACGCATATTTTGCATCTCCAAAGGCCATTTAGATCCTAGAATGTTGAGGAACTCTGTTCCGGTGGAAAAATACCTGAAAGTTACGTTCATTGTATGTGAGTCAACCTTTTCCACAATTCGCGATTTTTTATCATCCGGTAAGGTATTCAAATTCGGCGGTGCTTATTGACCTGGAGATTTAGTTCACTTAAACAAATCGGCGTAGTAAAGGATTTTCAGTAATACAGGAGCATATACATTATACATAGGCATTCTACACTATGAAGTGGCAAGTCTGAAAATGCCGTAGATTTCGAGAAATCAATCTCAATGTGCGAAAAGCCAGCGGCTATTATGTGCGTAACAGATGAAGTAGTTTGAACTGTGTTGAAATGGCTGCTCCGAACAATACAATCGATTGCATGGCTTCTGAATCCTGATGCAACATGCAATCAAANAACAAAGAAACCCGGTTATTGTCATCCCGTATACAGCGGGCTTGTCCTTGTCCATTATGTTGGGTCTCCAAATAGACTATGTAATCTGTAGAGAGCGCATATTCACCGAAATAAATCAGACTTACTTGGACTGTTTCCTCCAAATATATGTTTTGCCCGAATGTTTCCAACGTCGCTGTTGGTGAGATACCTGCCAAACTTGGATCTCACGTAGAAGCGGGTGTTGAAACAGCGGTCTTGGCATTCTAACATTGGTCGGATCATTTCCAGTTCTTTAGCATTGAGTCGACGGTTTCGGTTGAACCACTTGGATGCTTCCGCACACAGCAGTTCGTGGTTGTGGATCATACGGAATCGGGTAATCCTTAAATAGTTACCCAATCTTCCGACGTTGAAGTGTGGCTCACACTGCGTGTGCTCAAGCAGTCGACGTCGTTTTCATTCGTTCGAATCCATTCCGGTAGCATTGGTACTTAATGAACCTTTTCTCACCAGATGAATTCGCTTTCGAGGTTCGTACGCTATTGTACGACCCTGAAATCCGTTCGAACTGCTTGATGTAGTGCACAAGTTCATGACCATTGCCAAATAGGCGGTTGCCCACGTGCTCCTTGAACAGGGTGGCAACGTTCACTGTGTACCCTTCGGCAGGGGCAGGGGCAATTACAGCGACCGATTGCGCAGCTGAGGAAGCCATAACGAGTATGCTTCACAAGCCTGAGCAGTTAGTTATATAGGTCATGGCTACCAATGAAAATGAATACTCAGTCAATATCTTTGATGACCGATCACTACTGGAAGCGTATGTAGTAGTGTAAAATGAAACGAAAAATACATCCGACAAAAATAACAAAAATGAGTATCCAAAAGGTTGTGGTTATAGAGATATTCACGTCAGATCGCTCCTGGAGTAAGCCAACCAAGTTGTCTACTCAGGATGAACGACATACATCACTCTCATTGTGCGTGTCCAGCGGGCCGCTACGTGTATGGTTGCCGGCCTCAAATCCGTGGACTACGAAACGCGCCTCGCGATGCTTGATCTCTTCCCCCTGGAGTACCGTCGCCTCCGAGGGGATCTAATTCTTACCTATGCCCTGTTCGAACAAAGCTTGGCAAGCAGGTTTCTTACCGTTGACCCAGCAAGCACCCGGCGGGGGCATAGTAAGAAAATTTTCAAGCTCATAGCACACACATTCATCAGACAAAAATTTTTCTCATTCCGGGTAGCAGCTGCGTGGAACGCACTTCCTCCGACGGTTGTCTACGCTCCTTCTAGAACCCAGTTTAAAGCACCGTTAGACATTTATTTATGCAAATCCTCGCGCTGGCTAGCATACTGCCCCGCGATGAGAACATTAAGAGCAGTGCTACACCCTTTTTTTACGTGTGCCTTTCAGGTGAACGACGGCCACTGGCCGACAAGAACAAAACCGACCCGGTAAACTTGGGCAAAATCCTCGATCATGTGTATCAATCCGTGAATCCGTGATACTGGGAATGCAGCAGGCGCCCTCCAAACCAACGGAAAGCCGTGAAATCCGAAGAACCTAGTAAGCCGATCGTATTTTCTAATAAAAAGTACGCGAAGTACCAGCTGTCTAGTGCGATTTTGTCCACGGAGGCAAAGGAACCAACTGGCAGTGACCTCATTTTTCTGGAACACAACCACAAACTGTCAAAGTTTCTGTACAATCGGCTTCCAGTCAATCGGCGGCTAGCCGAAAAGGAGTTGGGCACATGTCAGGCCCTGCTGAGATATAGAACGCGGTCATCTGAGGTGAGGCAGTTTGTGGCGGATGAATTCGGAAAGATTATTACAACTAAGGATATACACAACTACCACCGGAAGTGTCGACCGGCTATCTTGAGTAGGTGCCGAGTGGTTGGGTTTTAATGTAGCAGATGACATGCCTCCGGTCCTGGAAAAACGTCGGGAGACCGGATGCGCCCTTGTGTGTCAGGGAAAGGAAGGTCACTATAGCCACATATGTTTCTTCCGGGTTCACAGAGGAACTACTCGACAGCCGTGAGTCAATGTCTGACAACTGCGACTAACTCTGTAGAGCGCCAGCTAGATGAAAGAGACGAAGACGTTTTCATGTTACCCATCGGCTCCGAAAAGTTTGTCTGTTAATGAGGTCCTATGCATTACATGTAAGTCTCGTATTGCTTGAGAGGCGCAGTAAACAGGCATGCGAAATAACCGCTGAAGATGGCATTGTGTGATCAGGCATCTACGAAAGCATAGTCGCCACAGTGAATTTTTGGGTAAGTATCTCTACCAGTTTGTCGGCCGCCCGCCTTATGGTGATATTTGGACAGCCTGAATTATATCTTTCTCTCATTTCAGGACTTCAACGGCCAAATGAACGCTCCTCACGAAGAAGAAAATGCGCCTCATAGAAGGACATATTTAAACTTCAAAACGACTAATATATCTCAAAATTTGAAGACGTCGATTTTGAGCCATTTCTCCGTTACCGATGGATGGATTAGTTAGGCATCGTGTACCCCTAGCCGCATGTTAGTGGTGTGCGTCAGTTAAGATCGTTCAGTTGTCTGGTATTATCGACGTAGGCTCCATGTGGCTAATTAGTTAGGCATCGCATACCCCTAGCCGCATGTTAGTGGTGTGCGTCAGTTAAGATCGTTCAGCTGCCTGGTATTATCGACGTAGGCTCCATGTGGCTAGCTAGTTAGGCATCGCGTACCCCTAGCCGCATGTAAGTGGTGTGCGTTGGTTAAGATCGATGAACCTCGAGGTCTTTCTAGCATAATTCGGAACCTATAATGAAAAACCCTGTAATTTGCCAGTCATCTTGTACGATGTTTAGTAAATAATTAGCGTGTGAACCAGAAAATTTTTACTGGCAACAAAGAATCATCGACCAAATTTTGTCTGCACG